ATTGTTGTTGTGGTTGATTTGGATGGAGATATTGTTTTGATGTTGTTGCTATTATTGGTAAATGGAACAAAAAATATATATATATTATAACATAATATAAATATATATATATATATATATATATATATATAGATTAACATTAACAAATAGCATTAATAATAGTGACAATAATAATAAAAAAAGATACATAACAATCACTAACCATGTCAAAGGCAAGGGATTGTAATTCTCAATTGTAACTTGCTCGCTCTATTCCGCAGAGATGTGGAACAAAATATTTTTGCCAAAAAATAAATAGAAGATTACAGATTTTACGTCAATCAATCAGTCAGTCATTTATTCATTCATTCATTTTCAACCAATCAATCAATCAACTATTCTAACAAATTATCATTTATTTATTCTTGTCCTTCATTCAGTCAATCCATCAATTTATTTATTTATTTATTTTTTAATTTTTCCAATCGATCAATTCAATATTAATTTTTTAGAATTTTAATTAAATAACCATAATTTAAAATTTAATCAATAACCATGAAATGATTAGATAAATAGCAATAATAATAAAACTTCCAGCCAAAATCAACAATTATATTTGTTTTTTGTCGCTTCATATAATGAAATGAAAATTTGTGCGTGCGTGCGTGTGTGTGTGCATGCGAGTGTACGTGTGTGCGTGTGTCAAATGCATACCCAACCAACCATTTAACTAGCCAATCAATCAATCATTCATACAACTAATCCACTTATCAATCAATCAATCGATCAACCAGTCGATCGATCGTTCTCGCAAAAGAAGTAAAAAAAAATTCATTAAAAGTATATAGAACGAACGATAACAAATTATATAACACTCAATCAATCTTATATATATATATATATATATATATATATATATACATGTGTGTGTATGTGTTTGTGTGTGTATGTGTGTGTGTGTGTGTGTGTGTGTGTGTGTGTGTGTGTGTGTGTGTGTGTGTGTGTGTGTGTGTGTGTGTGTGTATTAACAACATTTATAACTGTAAAATACCAGTTATTTTTAGTGGCAAGGAAAGTATAGGGAAATTATTTTTCAATTTAAATTTGTATGCTGTGGGCTATGAATTAATGTTGAAATTATTATTTATCATAAATTGTGAATATATCTACACACACAAACAAACAAACACACAGACACAGATGCGGGTTTTCAAATCTGTTTAAATTTATAAATTTTATTTCATGTCCGATTCCAATTTAAATTTTAAACTAAATGAAATGGCAGGCATTAAACGTGTGTGTGTGTGTGTGTGTGTGTGTGTGAGAGAGAGAGAGAGAGAGAGAGAGAGAGAGAGAGAGAAAGGAGAGAGAGAAGTAGAGGGAGGGAGAGAGTGTGTGATGTGTGTATGTGTGTGAAACAATTATTGTACAAAATTCAACGAATTAAATGTAAACATTTGTGTGTGTGTGTGAAAGAGAGAGAGAGAGAGAGAGAGAGAGAGAGAGAGAGAGAGACAGACAGACAGACAGACAGAGAGAGAAAGAAAAAAAGAAAGAGAGAGAGAGAGAGTGAAAGAGAGAGCGTGTGTGCGTGTGTGCGTATATCTGAATCAGTTATTGTACAAAATTGCACTAATTAAATGAAAACATTTTAAAAGAATTCTGATGATTAATGAAAAATAAGCAATGACTAACACGCAAACAAATGAATGACTAATAAAATGTGTCAAATCTTGAATGGCAAGTGTGTTTGTTAACCTTTAAAATTGACTGTGTGAAATTTCGTTTTGAGTTATCCTGGTCCCCAAATGATGTTGTTAGAGTTAAAGCACTTGCTCCTGCTCCTAAGTTGTTTGTAGTATATGCCTTGGGCTTGTAAGTGTTGATACTTCAGAATTTTGTTTAAATTGCTATGTAGGAATGTTCTTTGATAAATGAAGGAATAAATGATTGAGTGAGTGAATGAATGAATGAATGAACGAACAAACGAACGAATGAATGAATGAGTGAGCGAGTGAGGGAGTGAAGATACCCAAATAGATACAAGCCATTAATTACCGTAACTTTTCTCAAAAAATTCACACCATCTACATATATTCATAGGTAAAAACTCATGGACGCCAAGAATTGTAGAACTTTATATATTTCGATTTATTTATTTCTGATCGTGACGTCACTGTTTGTGAATCGTGAAACGTTTTGTAAACAAATAAACTGACAATTATGTGAACAAACCTTTTTTCTCAATATACGTGTAATGTAAATAAACCGACAGATAAATAACTTAACTAAACATATAGAGCGAAGAATTTTTCAACGTCTGCGTATTGCTTAAATTTTTTGTGGGGAAGTTTATTGAGATAATTAATGGCTGATGAATAACAATTAAATGAGAGTTTATTTTAAGGTGTCTAGTTTAGTTATTACAAATATGAAGTATCAGTTGATTGATGAAATCATTTGAAATATGATGAATGGCGAAACGTGGTTTCATATTCTTAGGATCATTATATATCAATAAAACGGGCTTCGTGAGAAATATTCATTTGATTTTTGAACTTTCAAAAAAAAATTTGGAAAACTTTGAAAAGTAATATGACAAGAGGATGGCTAGTTACTCTTCTGTTGACACTTTACTTAACAATATTTTGTTAGTCCATACTAGAAAATTTCATTCCTTCATTCGTCTGTCTGGTCATTCACTCATTCATCCATTCATTCATCCATCCATCCATTCATTCACTGACCCACTGACTGACTGACTGACTGACTGACTGACTGACTGACTGACTGACTGACTGACTGACTGACTGACTGACTCACTCACTCACTCACTCACTCATTCATTCATTCATCCATCCATCCATTCATTCACTGACCCACTGACTGACTGACTGACTGACTGACTGACTGACTGACTGACTGACTGACTGACTGACTGACTGACTGACTGACTGACTGACTCACTCACTCACTCACTCACTCACTCACTCACTCACTCATTCATTCATTCATCCATCCATCCATCCATTCATCCATTCATTCATATCAAATTGGACAGTAGATAACTGGAAACTTCAATCTTTCCATAGTGAAAATAGTTAGCTCGGAAAGAGCAGATGAGACAAACGTAGCCAAGGGAAAGATGGTGTACATGAAGAAAGGTACGCTTGGTCTGGCGGCGACTGACGGCGACAAGTCAACCTTCGCTATTGTGGAAGCACACGCAGATGCTTGGTTTATTGTCGACCTTCTTGTCTTCTTCCACGTTCAACAAATTTCTCTACTCGTTTTTCAGCTCCAGCCTGACTCTAGTTAGATTTCAAAGTTTATGTTGATATATCTGAAGGTGTATGCCAGTCTTACTATTTTGGCTAAAAATTTAAATAAATATATTTAAAAAACTTCTAGAGATGATTGAAGATTTATTTTTAATTTTCTAAAAAAGAAATCGCAAAGAACGGATTGGACAACTTCACAATTGGCCGGTTGGACGTCAAACAGCCCCTGACCGTCTTGTACACTTTCAAGGCCGATGACTTCAAGGTTTGGTACACTCACGCGGGTAAGGTGGAGGCAGAAATCATTTCCATCGATCTGAAAACTTCCAACCACACAGCGAGATTCGTCGCTATCAGGCAATCAGCCATAATACTTGGATCAAGTGGAACTTATATAAAAGAATTTGAAGCTTACGGAGTTGGTCAGTGCTGTTTTGCAAAAAAAACTTTCAATTGAATAAAAAAAGCAATATATTTATTCATATTATTTATTCATTCATTTACCCATTCATTTGTTCGTTCGCTCATGAATTCGTTCATTCGTTAACCCATTCATTCATTTGTTCGTTCGTTCGTTCGTTCATTCATTCATACATACATTCATTTATTCTTTCATTCATTCATTCATTCATTCATTCGTTCGTTCGTTCGTTCGTTCGTTCGATCTTTCGTTCGTTCGTTCGTTCATTCATTCATTCATTCATTCATTCATTCATTCATTCATTCATTCACTTATTTATTCATTCGTTCATTCACTCATTCATCCACCGACAGAACAACACGTAGAAGCGTACAAAGGATGTTACAAGACTTTAAAACCGGAAGGTAAACCGACCGTCGTCCAAACCATCCATAGCTGCTTCGACAACTGCTCCTCAAGACCTGGCGTCGAAATGTTTGGACTGAAAGTAAAAACAAAAGTTTCATAATAGAGAATTTCGTAGACAAACTAAACGCCAAGATGGATAGTGCAATGGTTAAGACGCCTGGCACTGATGTTGTAGTGTCATGGTACGAATGCAAAAAGATCCCTGCTTGTCGTTAGCAGTTCGTGTGATGCGTTGGAAAGGCGTGTATTTAAATGGCTGTTTGTGTGTGTGTTGTTTAAATTTTGTAAATTGATAAAACTAAACAAGCATACACACCCCTACACACACACACACACACACAGACACACACAGACAAACATACACAAACAAACAACTTACCATAGGACGGTAAAAATTGCTACTGCACGAAAAATGCCGATACGCTGGTGGCTTCAACTTTCTGTCAAATCCCATGTCCAAATAATGTTGGTTATTGCGGGGGGACAGAGCATTTCTCTGTTTATAGCGGTTGGAAATAGATTTTTATTTATTTTTATTTTTTGTTTTTTGATGGTTTTTCTAATAAAAGTTTTGAAATGAGCTTTTTTTATTATCTTTTAGTAAAACGCCAAGCAAACAAACAAACAAACAAGCGTACATACACACCCACACAAGCAGACATAAAAAACAAAGAGATAAACATTCACACAGACAAACAGATAAACATTCACACAGACAAACAGATAAACATTCACACAGACAAACAGATATACAAATGAACAAATAGACAAACATACAACAGCGAAACCGAAAGTTAGCGTTGACATCATCAACTATCTGGGCTGTTTCGCTGACAACGTGCAGAAGAAGGCCGGCTTGATGGGCGAATTGATTGACCGAGACAATGTAACCATCGAGAAATGTATCAAGTCCTGTAGAAGCAAATACGTCGCCGTGCAGGTTCTTTCTTCTACGTTTTGTATGTGTTAGTGTGTACGAGTGTGTATAAACGTATGTGTGTGTTTTTACGTGTGTTTGTATGTTTGTGTGTATGTGCGTGTTTTTGTTTGTGTGTGTGTTAGTGTGTGTGTTTAGTGTGTGTGTGTGTTTTTGTGTGTGTAAATTCTTTAATTGATCGAGACAATACTGCCATTGAGACATGTATCAAGTCATGTGCAGGCGAATGTGCCCTCTTACAGGTTTTCTTCAACGTTAACTACTATTAGGAAATAATCTTCAGAAATATTTTTTATGATTTGAGCCAGGAAGGCAAGCTGTGTGCCTGCGCTGATGGATATAGTGGACGAGGACCGAGCTCTGAGTGTAACATGCCATGTGTAGGGAATCCAAGGCAGACTTGTGGGGGCAAGCAAGCCAACCAGGTTTATGAAAGTTGGTGGCGGTGAAGAAGATGAAGATGAGACGATGATGAGATGAGGAGGATGATGAAAATGACGATGGATTTAGACTATTGACAAAATTAAAAAATTACAAATTGACGATGCTAGAAATCTTGTTTGTTAACACGAAAACATTTTTTGTTGAACATTGAAAACGAAACATCCAAAGTAAGCATTCAAATAAAACAAAAAACTGCAACACCAAACAAACAAACGAACGGACAAACGAACGGACTAACAAACAAACCCAAAACAATAGTGGAAATGAAGAGCATTCTCCTACCTTCAATAATAAACTACCGCCACTGTCTACTGTCTGATAATATCGACCAGTCTGCAAGCTGTTTGTCTGCAGGTTGCATGGAAAATTGGCATGGTCCAGGTTGCAATGAAGTGGGTGGGTAACTGTCTGTCTGACTGTCTGTCTATCTGTCTTTCTTCCTCTTGTTTTCGTTCTATCTCTTTCTTTATCTCGTTCTCTCTTTTTTATGTCTGTCTGTCTTTTTTTTTCTCTATATTTTTTCTCTCTCTTGCACTCTCTCTCTGTTGCCCTATTTCTCTCTTTGTTTGTGTGAGCGTTATTATCATCATATTCTCTAAAATGCATTTATATAGCGCCTGTTAAAAACGGTGGCAATTTTTTCCAACAGATTGTCAGAAATTCAACTGCAGCGGAGAATGTCACACGTCCGATCTAGCAACTACCGTCTTCTCCATATGCTATCCGAAAAGTGTGTGTATGTGCGTGTGTATGTTTGTATGTGCGTGTGTATGTATGTGTGAATGTATGTGTGCGTGTGTATGTATGTGTGAATGTATGTGTGCGTGTGTATGTATGTGTGAATGTATGTGTGCGTGTGTATGTATGTGTGTGTGTCTGCGTGTGTGTGTGTCTGTGTATAATTGTACAATGATGATTAAGTTAGACGACGATGAGATTAGGAAGATATTACGATGACGTAGCAAAGAACAATAAATGGCGTCGTACTAACATAAACAAAGTTAAAAAAGACAACAACAACAATAACAACAACAACAACAACAACTATAATAAGTCATTTATATAGCGCTTCGTGAAATTCTTTTCCTACAACAGTATCAGAGTCAGAAAAGAAACCACAGTTGAAAGCCTGGGTTGTTGTCGTCGGAGTAGTAGCGGCCGCACTGCTCGTCGTAGCACTCATTGCCATCGGTTATTTCTTTTACATAAAGAAGCGTAAAGTAGCTGCCGATACAAGTGAAGGATTTCTCTTTTGTTTTTCTTATTTGTTTTTCTTTTTTTTTATTTATTATCTTTTTATCTTTCTTTGTATGTATCTCTTTCGAGTTTTAATCTCTGATGCATCATCAACAACACGCACGCACGCACACGCACATAGTAGCAGTAGTAGTAGTTGTAGTAGTATTAGTAGTTGTGGTAGTAATAATAGTATTATTATTATTATTAGTAGTAGTAGTAGTAGTAGTATTAGTAGTAGTAGTAGTAGTAGTTGTTGTAGTAGTAGTAGAAGTAGTAGTAGTAGTAGTTGTAGTAGTAGTAGAATTTATTATATATTATTATATATATTATATTAATGTTACATATTAATATATAGGTGAAGATGGCGATGAATCGTTAGAATAAGTACTCGCCCACACGTCCGTATACAACAATACATAAATTCCTGAAATATTTTTAATTAATAAATTAATTAATTAATTGATTAAATTTGATAATACGTAAAAAATGAATGAGTAACACGTTATTTTGCTAACATTGACATGCTATGGATAACCTAGATTAGTAATGTATGTTTGTGTGTGCGTGCGTGTGTTGTGCGTGCGTGTGTTGTGTGTGTGTGCGTGCGTGTGTGTGTGCGAGTGTGTGTGCGTGCGTGTGTGTGTGTCAATGAACTAACTGTCTGTCGACACTGTATATGCTCTATATATAGTAGTTAATAATTAGCAGTCAAGTTTGTGGTGGTTCAACAAGCGACCGACATTGAGGAAATAATTGATTGGAAGAACGGATGGATGAATAAAATCAAATCAATGAATAACAGATTGAGTGACAGAATAAAATGAATGAATGATGAATAAATGAATAATTGAACGAACGAACGAACGAATAAATGAATGAACGAACGAACGAATGAACAAACAAACGAACGAACGAATGAACGAACGAACGAACGTATGAATGAATGAATGAATGAATAAATGAATGAACGAACGAACGAACAAACGAACGAACGAACGAATGAATAAATGAATAAACGTATAAACGAACGAATGAAATAATGAATAAATGATTAAAATCTGACTATTAATAATTTAGATCTAAATAAATGTATTTTCAAAGTTTCTGGTCATTTATATTTATAGATGGAATTTAAGAATGGCAAAACACACCATACAAATTAACTAAACAAGTGGTTTAAACAACAACAACGCAACAACAACAACAACTACTACTACTACTATCACTACTACTACTACTACTACTACTACTACTACTACTACTACTACTACTACTACTACTACTACTACTACTACTACTACTACTACTACTACTACTACTACTACTACTACTACTACTACTACTACTATACTACTACTACTACTACAACTACTACTATACAATGACAATACATATTCACTGAAGCTTTTCAAATGAACTTTCCTTATCGCGGCCACCATCACCACTGGCTTGCCTCTGCAAACACACTCACGCAGATTCTACTAACAAATATTAAACATCAACTTACCGTCATCTGGGGATTTTGTTGTGCGCATCGTTCATTCGTTTGTTTGTTTGCTTGTTCGTTCGTTCACTCGTTCGTTCGTTTGTTCTTTCGTTTGATGAGACTTGATACATCGTAACAAATCGAAACAACGACAAAACAAAACAAACACAAAAACAAACATAACATCACAGACTTCTGATGGTTTTCAACGCCTTGCTGGGCTGGGTACTGCACTCAAATACAAATTCAAAATACCCAATGCACACATACTGCAAATACACACTCCCGATAAATTATTAATATGTTACAAAGTATATACATATTATGTATGTACATGTGTGTGTGTGTGTACGTGTGCATGTGTGTGTGTGTGTTTGTGTGTGTGTTTGGTGTGCACAGCTAGTTTCCCTAGTGGCACGACCACAATTAAGTACAAATGATATCACACTAGTCTTCTTAGCACAGAGCGAAATATGTGTGTGTGTGCATGTGTTTGTTTGTGTGTGTGTGCGTGTTTGTTTGTATGTGTGTGTTTGTCTGTTTGTTTGTATGTGTGTGTGTTTTTTATTGCACTAAATGTAGCACTAACTCGATGCGTATAAAGTGATGGGTGGCTGGTTTATTGCTAGGTTGTACAGAAAAAATCGTTTAAGTTCATTGAATGTTATGTTATACATCTGTCCGGTCTATTCTTCTATCTTTTCTTCGTCCACCCATTCATTTATTTATTCATTCACCATCCATTTGTTAATGCATCCAATTATCCATTCATCTATCTTTTCATTCATTCCCTCATTCCCTCGTTCGTTCGTTCATTCGTTCGTTCGTTCGTTCGTTCGTTCATTTATTGTTCCTTTCATTCGTTCATTCATTTATCCATAAATCTACTTGTCCATCCATCCATCCTTTCAATCATTATCACTATTAAGATTATTGTTATTATTATAAATATTATGAAGTTCGAATGATGTTTGTTTGACTTACTGACTACCTTTTTCGCCATTGGGGAACCTATCAAATAATTGCTGCTGCTGCTGCTTTTGTCGCGTCGACGATGGCGCCAATAATCACCATCATAACCTACCTACACGAATAGTGGGTGGAGTCTTGACGATGACGTCACAACTACGTCATCATTCATTGGTTCGTCGTATCGCAGGAAGCGTTTGATTGGCTGGTAACACTTGTCCGTTGTTTTCGCTAAAAAATTTGGTATATATACACATACACACATACGCATAAAAAAATACAAAGGAATGATATGTATGTATGTATGTATGTATGTATGTATGTATGTATGTATGTATGTATGTATGTATGTATGTATGCATGTATGTATGCATGTATGTATGTATGTATGTTTGTATGTATGTATGTATGTATGTATGTATGTATGTATGTATGTATGTATGTATGTATGTATGTATGTATGTATGTATGTATGTATGTATGTATGTATGTATGTATGTATGTATGTATGTATGTATGTATGTATGTATGTATGTATGTATGTATGTATGTATGTATGTATGTATGTATGTATGTATGTATGTATGTATGTATGTATGTATGTATGTATGTATGTATGTATGTATGTACAGTTTTGTAATGACCATCACATATATAAATAAATCGGACAAGTGTTAGGTTAGTTATCGATTTACACAACAACAACAAAAACAAAAACAACAACAAATCACGTTAACATCAACAACAATAATACAAATTTACAACAATAATAGTATGTATGACATTAACAACAACAGCAACAAAAACATTAACAACAACAACAACAATAATGTTAATGATATGAGAAACAAATGTACCAACAACAGCAACAACAAAACAACACCTTACGCCATCATTCTTCCCATTGGTCAGAATTGCAACAACAATCAAATCTACAACATTAGCAACAATGATAACAACATCAACAACATCATCATCAACAACAACAACAACATCAACAACGACAGTATTCATTACACTAAAGTCAGTAGAGTCAATAGAAATGTTAACTACATCAAAAGCATTTATGACAGTAATAACAACAATAATAATAATACTGACAACAACAAAAACGACAACAACAACAACAACAGTTATAATAACAATAATAATAACATCAATAACAACATCAATTGTAATCATTACAATAGCACGAATTGTAGTTGCACCGACATCAACAAGCAAGTGATCAGTTGCCATAATGACTTTAACATCGATAAAATACCTGTCCACATGGAATTACGTGACACTAACTTTTCAATGCGGTCCGAAACTTTTCTTACATCAACAACAGCAAAAACTGCAATGATGCAACATCAAAATCGCCAACAACAACAACATAAACAAAAACATCAGTATCGGCAAAAACAGCAACAACAAAATCATCGTCATTATCAGCTGCTGCAACAACATAAACAACAACAGCCACAACCACAACAACTACAAATGCAGCAACAGCCGCAGCAACAACTACCACCACCACAGCAACAACAACTACAAATACAACAACAATTAAATGGTTTAAAAGTGGAATTAGACTGCGGGCGTCTTTGGCGCCAGTTTCATTCGTTGACCACAGAAATGGTCATCACTAAATCTGGAAGGTTGCACGATGATGTCGATGATGATGATGATGATGATGATGATGTGATGATGATGAGGATGACGTGATGATGATGTGATAATGATGATGGTGATGATATGATGATGATGATGGTGATGATGAGCAGGATGATGATTTGATTAAAATGTTGTCACGGTGCTGATGATGATGTGGTTAAAGTGCTGTCTGTTGTCATGGTGGTGATGATGATGATGATGTGGTTAAAATGCTTTTATGATGATGATGATGTTGTTGTTGTTGTTGTTGTTGCAACTTCTGTTGTTGCTAATGTCGTTGACAGAAAGTACAATGATGATGTTGCTGGAGTTGCAAAAAAACTTCAACAACAACAACAAAAACAACAACACAATAACAACGACAATAATAGCAACAACACTAACAACAACAGAAGGATGTTTCCGTCGTTAAAAGTTAAGGTGAGTGGCTTGGAAGCGAAGAAAAAATATCTCATGTTTATTGACGTGTGTCCGTGTGATGATAACAGATACAAGTACTACAATTCCAAGTTGGTTGGTTGGCTGGCTGGCTGGCTGATTGGATGGTTAACAAGTTGGATGGTTGATTGATTGACTGACTGTCTGGCTGGCTAATTGATTGATTGATTAATTGATTGATTGATTGATTGACTGACTGACTGACTGATTGATTGATTGATTTAATTATTTAGTTAGCTCTTATAGTTATGCAATCTCCCTAAAATCAAAATAAAACGCTATTTTTAATATCTGCACAAAAAAAACATACAAAATTTTGAAATTATATCCCCAACCGCTAGATGGCAGGTGGCGGGTAAGGCGGACCCGGAAATGCCTCGGAGGACTTACGTTCATCCGGATTCACCGATGACTGGGGAACAATGGATGTGCAGGGTCATCTCCTTCCACAAACTCAAACTCACCAACAACATGTCCGATAAGCACGGATACGTTAGAGATTGAATGAATGAATGAACGAACGAACGAATGAATGAATAGATAAATGAATGAAGTGGTTGATGAAACAAATGAATGAACAAACTAACTAATATAGACGCAAATAATTGAATGAATAGGCAGATGAGTGGATGTATAAACAAACAAACAATCGACCAACCTGCCAACCAACCAATCAATTCTTCAACCAATCATTTACACACACACACACACCACACACACACACCACACACATACACACCCCACACACACACACACACACGCATTACAAGTACACACACGCACACACGCACGCACACACACGCACACACAGATGATCCTGAACTCCATGCACAAATATCAACCACGTTTCCACATAATGCAAGCTGCGGACGATAAGAAAAATCTCCCCAACAGTCCAGTCCTCCATCGCATTTTTAAATTCCAGGAAACTGAATTCATCGCCGTTACGGCCTACCAGAATGATTGCGTCTGCAACAATTTTGAAATCATTTATTTAACCATAATAAAATACTTAATAATAAATTCGTATATAATTTTAAATATTTATAAATTATTTCACTAACTCTTCAGAGGCACGAAACATATGCAAATACGTGTGAATACACGAACGTACACACACACGCACGCACGTACACACACACCCACACACCCACACACATACACACACACCTACACACACGCACACACAAACACATACATATTGCATGTGATATGCGAGAATCTCACTACAACATTACAACATTTTTTTACTACTACTACTGTTATTATTATTATTAATTTTAGTTATTATTATTATTATTAATTATTTTTTAATTATATAAACATTAGAACCACCCACACATACACACACACACACAACACACACACACACACACACACACACACACAGATCACCCAACTGAAAATTAACAACAACCCATTCGCCAAGGGTTTCCGAGATACAGGCAGCTGCAAATTGGAAAAGTGATTTAAAAAAAAAATAACTATAAATAAATAATTATAGATTAATACGCATAATAAAATAATATTTTAAGCATAATATCTATAACACTTGTAAGGAAATGGTTGTAATGGCTATGAGAAAACACAATGAATTGGTGATTTTAATGTGTCATAAAACTAATTATTCACCAAATAAATTCAAATAAACCTTTAAATCCGATCTTGAATTATCCTTATATAATATTTATTCATTTTTTTTTTTTATTCAGAAAAAATCGGTTCATTCCAAGCAACGCAATTAAGAGAGTCCATTCGCCTATGACAGATCCAAGAACCAGTCAGGGCGTATCTTGTGCTAGTCTCACTGGAAAATTTCAAAACTCTTGGATAAAAATAGGTGCAGTGATGCGTTGTCTCTAAGTTGTAATCCTAAATTTTTCTATATTTCAATTTTTAAGTTTATTTATGTATAAGTTAACAATATATATATATACAAAAAACCTGTCAAACACATAAATATAAATATACATAAATAATATATAAACATCGTACCAACATTTCCAGACATAAACTACCATACCATCACATACATCATATCATGCTGCACACGTAACATCATAAACAACATCATCAAGACAATGTAGTTATTTGTCTATATATCTGTCTATCTATCTGTCTGTATGTATGTCTGTATGTCAATCCAATTGTCTGAATATATGTCAACCAATCACATCCCATCACATCATATCACAGAACAACCTACAGACAACAGCCAAATTCATCCAAACTTACCAGAAAACCAGATGATATATCTAGTGAACCATCCAACTCTAAAACTTCCCGACCCGCATATGAATCTCCATCTCCTAAGTGGCACTGCGAATTTCAACTGTTTCCAACTTGAAAAATTGAAATTCACTGAAGTTCTTCACAATATATACCGTCATTCGGTTGATAATTTCACCGAAATCAACACTTTGCGATCCAATAATCTGACCGGAATGAATATTGAATCTACAAAGAGGCATGAAATTGACGAGGGTTGTACTTCAAAATTAACCGTTAGCACAGGAAACCAGAAAGATTCATCTACAATGACGTCATCGTCATCTCAAATTTCTTCAGAAACAACAATGCCCTCGCAAATTGCATCCATTCCTTCATTGACACCGGCAAAAATAACATCGACGCCGTCATCGTCGCCACTGAAGAACTACTTCATTCGAACGCTACTCGGCGAAGAGGCAGACGGCGATGTGATGTCGCCCCAATAGCAGCCACAACTGCGACAATAGCGCGATGGTGTAGTGGTTAACTCGCCTGCCACTACTGTTGCAGTGACGGCATTCGATTGCAAAGTGATCACCGATCGTCCTATCATTTTATTTATTAAATATTTTCAAATTGACGGAAAAAAAGCAAGACATGTTCAAGACGGTGTATTACGTATCTATTCAAAACTTCAGCTAAAATAATAATAATAATAATTAATAATAATGATAAATATTACTATTTATTCATTTATTCGTTTTAAAATAATTAAATTAGAAAACACGAATCAGTCAGTCAGATTCACAAAGAGTTTTCAACTTTCTTTTCCTATTATGGTAGTTAATGCGGTCTTCTAAGCTTTCTGGAACAAGTTATTTAAAATAATGAATTAATTTAATTATTTATTAATTTATTAATTCACTAATTTCGTACAATTATCCGGGAAATAAATTTTAGCTTGTGCTAACTTTTCAACTAATAAATACCTCATAGCTATTCTACCTCATGTTAGCAGAGCTGAACACCAAAAACACACACACTCACACTCTCTCACACAAACACACACACACACACACACACACACACACACACACACACACACACACACACACACACACACACACACACACACACACACACACACACACACACACACACACACACACACACACACACACACACGTGTTTATGACGAACCACAAGTAGGCCTAGATAGAAGGGGTTTATACACTTTTGGCTTGTTTCCTGGCAGCAGCATATTGCTTTGTGAAGTTATGCACACATCTGATTTATTGTTATTGCTATTATTGTCATTATTATTATTATTATTGTTGTTGTTGTTATTATTATTATTATTATTATTATTACAAAGACATCAAGAGTTTTTTACTTGCTGTACTGCTGATATCTTCCAGCATCGCTCTTAACATTGTTGATCTGTGAGTGTGTGTGTGTTTGTGTGTGTGTTTGTTTGTGTTTGTTTGTGTGTGTGTGTATGTGTGTAGTATGTATGTGTGTGTGTACGTATCTATGTATTTATAAATGTGCATGGATCTATTTAGGCATGTATGCATAAGTATATGTATGTTTGTATTTGTGTGTGTATGTTTGTATTATGCACATATGTATGTATGTTTGTACCTCCGTGTATATGCCTTTGTATGTATAGACGTTTCTCTAAACAAGCATAAATTGATTATATAGCATAATTTACATAAAAATATTATATAATAATATGATAATAATAATAATAATAATATAATAATAATAATATATGATAATGATATTACTTGATTGACATCTCAGACCATTTGGACTGAAGGGTTGATACCGTCTCCTGCATATTCACTGTACGATGATAAGATGATGATAATGATGTTGTGACGATGATGATAATGATGTTGTGACGATGATGATAATGATGTTGTGACGATGATGATAATGATGTTGTGACGATGATGATAATGATGTTGTGACGATGATGATAATGATGTTGTGACGATGATGATAATGATGTTGTGACGATGATGATAATGATGTTGTGACGATGATGATAATGATGTTGTGACGATGATGATAATGATGACGTTGTGACGACGATGACAACGATGATGATGATGATGAAATTAAGACTGATGATAAGGTGTAGGGTGATAACGATTGTAAAGGTGATGATGAAAGGACAATGATGAAGACGACGACGATGACGATGATGGGTGAAAAACAGGTCAACACCTTCGTCTATGATCCAGGTGATATCATCGTATTCACACTCGTATAACACCAGAGGAATTTCTGATTAACATGAATGCATGAGTGAATGAATGAATGGATGAATGGATGTATGAGTGAGTAAATGAATGAATAAATGCATAAATGAATGAGTGAATAACAGTTAAGTTTTACGGATGAAATTTAAGCATTTTCAAACCTGAAGCCATGGAATATTGAGGCTTGTTTGGGTAGGTAGAAACATCGAGCAGATCCTTAACTATCTATTACATTATTATTATTTAATTAAGTAATTAATTGAAATTATCATCTTCGTACGTAATAAAAGAAGAAGAAGAAGAAGTAGAAGAAGAAGAAAAAGAAGAAGAAGAAGAAAAAGAAAAAGAAGAGGAAGAAGAGGAAAAAAAAACAACAACAACAATAATAATAATAATAATAACCAACTTCCGGTTCTTCAGCCTCCTCCCCAACCAATAGCAGCACAGCCATGATACATCTGATCTGATGCCATAGGAAGGCTTGGCTGACTATGGTCAAGACATACATGTTGTATGATTGGTCAGTTTGGTCAGTTGTTGTTGTTGAATTATCTTCCATTGTCGTTGTAGATGAAGATGACTTTTTGATTGGAGATGGCAGGCTGTTTGCGATCATTAAGCAAGATTATTAAGACGTTCGTTACCATTGTAATACATATAAACAAAATGGTACCATGTTAGCCCGCAGCAATAATAATTTTCTTTGATTAAATTAAACTGATTGAATACATTATGCCCAACAGATCAAAAGACCGACCAATCCCATCCAACCACATACGAAACCAACCAATCATATCCAACCAATAGAAACAACAAACCGTTGATTGGATGAAAAGGGGGCCAATCGAACGTCAGATATATTTCTTACAAAATTAACGACGCCATTTGCCACGTCCATCTTGCAGAGGTTTCTGAAATCATGCTGGCCTATTAGGTAACTGCTTGCTATTCTCATTTTCTGCCAACCAAACATTCAATCCATCAATCAATCCATCAATCCATCAATCAATCAATCAATCAATCAATCAATCAATCGATCAATCAATCAATCAATCAATCAATCAATCAATCAATCAATTTTTCATTCATCTATTCAAACAACCTTGATGTTGAGAGTTCCTTTAGGAAAAAAATATCTATAAGTCCTCTGTTTACAATCAAACCTGAACAATAAAAAAATAATAATAAAATAATAATAAATAAATAAAAATTCACACACACAAACACACACGCGCACACACCTTGCACTGAAATCATCTCGGACAGGTGTCCAAGCAATGACTCTTATATCTGACGGTAGAACCTTGTTAAGCATGTGTACATAGCTCAGTTCAGTTGTTGTGTCACCTTGATTGGTTGAATGAATGAATGAATGAATGAATGAATGAATGGATGGATGGATGGATGGGATGAATGAAGGGATGGAATGGATGGATGGATGAAATGAATGAATAAATTTGTAACCGACCCTTTCGTTCGTGTGCAGTTCCGTCGGATCTCACCTTCACACCATCTCCGCATAGTAAATTGCTTCTGAGATCAATCGAGATAACCTAAATAATAATAATAATAACAACAATAATAATAACACCAAAGAAATAGTAGCAGACCTGGCAAAAAGCGCTAACTCCTTTGTCAGTTCTACCACATCTATGGTAATTGGAAGTTGATCTGTATATAGGTTTTTATTTGGGGAAAAATTTTTTTTTAAATTTAATTGAAATTAAATCATTTTTCATTTTAAATATAAAATCGCAACTTTTTAATGAAATTATTAAATTTCGTATGAAATTAAGTTAAAAAAATAAAATAAAATAAAAAACCTAGATTCAACGAGTTTAGTTTGATGTAAAGCCTTGAAAAGAGCAAATTCGATGGTTCTTACTGTGTCCTCTTGCACTGCCAGACCATCATAATCCCAGCCAAGATATAGAATTTTCAATAGAACATGTCGTGTGTTATATCTATGTAGTTGTTGTTGTGGGTTTCATTCAATAACAAACAAAAACAACAAAAAACATGATGTATACAAATGTTTATAAAATAAAGACAAGAAAGAGAAAAACAGACAAAAACCATTATCAACAATCAACATCATATTATCAATAATACAATTAGACACCATAATCATCATTATCACAGTAAAATATACAGAAAATTAAATTAAAATCTAGAAAAAAACCACTTTCTGAAATCGAAATCTCGTTTAGGTTTCTTCCTAGTGTTGCCATCCTCTTCTGAAACGTGGCTATTGTTGCAGCTGCCATTGAGTTGTTTGTTGAGAAGATTTTTCAGCTGCTTGTTGTAAGCCTGTAACCTCGAGACTTCTTCAATCAATTCCTTAAAAATAAATAGAACTATATTTTATGTGTACTTCATATTCATATAAGTGAAGTTATACATGCTTTATTTTATATAATAAGTTATAATATTATTATATTATAATATAATAATAAATGAATGCTAGTAAGTATCTATATATTATATTATATATAATTATAATATTACACTATATAATATGCTGTTTCATATATATATAAATTATAATATGAGCCTCCTATTTTTATATAGGCTACTATTACATGCAATGATATTTTAAATTTAAAGCAATTTTTGTATTTATATATTGTATTTTTATATTAATATTTTTATATTACATATTGTAAGTGTTAGTATGGACTATCTGCATTATGGTAGATGGCTGTTGTAGTGTTAGGATAGGATGGTGGTATCATCATGCTTGCTGTTAGTCGTTAGTGGTTAGCGTAAGTAAGGCATGTACACTTTTACATGTACACAATGTACACATTTCATAAAAATCGAGTTTGATGCACACGCAAGAACAACTAACCAAACATTTCTAAATCAAGAAATAAGAAAATATCTTAAATTTCAAGCAAATTCCAACCTCTTTCGTCAGCGACTTCAATGATTCCTTATCGGCGTTCATTTTTAAAAAATACACAAAGGTACAAAGTATTATGAATAAGACAATTTAAAATTTGCTACATTCCCGTCACTTTATCGTTCAAATTAATCGTTTCTCTATCAAATTTTGATTAAAACTTTATCTCTAATTTCAACTTTAGACAGTTTAAATTTGCGATTTTAAATTTCGTGCATTCAAATTGCTGATTTTATATTGTAGACATGTTATTTTGCCGTTCAGTTGTTTTAGTTACTATTTAGTTAGTTTTTTAGTAGTTTAGTTAGGTTAGATTTAGTTTTTAAACACAGTTTTTTAAACTCATTAAAGATTAAAGGGTTAAACTTTAAAAAATTAATAAATTAAATGGTTTTGTGATGTTTGCAATTGAAGGCTAGTAAGGCTGCAAGATTTTTCAAATAAAATATAATATTTTCATTTTCATATAAAATATTTTGTTGAATGAAATGTACATCTTTGCAACAGAATTTTTTTTAAAATAAATATATGCCAAAAGGTGTGACTAAGTTACAGTTACATTCAAAAAACTTTAACTTATCAGTGCAGTTCATGGTTCATAGAATTTTTACTTTCACTATTACAACTAACCACCCTACACTACTGTACTGTCTTTTATCTAACTAATCTTTTAACTAGATTTTCATTTTATAATATAATAAATAACCAAATAAATTTTCAGTCAGTAGTTGACCATGTCTTATAGATAGATTTTAGTATACAATCTAGATAGACCAAGTGTGACACAACAAACCATGTTCAACAGCTTAACCTTGAAACTTAATCACCTTATCAATGCCTTCTTATGGCATGCTTATCAGATAAGAACAATGTTTAATAATTAAATTACATTATTATTTATAACATTTTTTACTTTCAAATATATTTTAACATTTTCATTTTGCAGAAATCATCAAATCAATTTATGATGAAAAGAATTATGATGAATGGTGATTAATTATTGACTCTACACTACAGCTTTTGTTGTAAAAAAAATAATCTAGAATGGGGCTAAAAGCTATTCAGTCTGCTACTGTAAATAAATCAATGAAGTCGTCAGTAATTGAGCTATACTCATTCTATGAATTACTTGAAAATTGAACTATAGTATCCTTCAAACCACCTAATAATAATAATAACAATAATAATAATAATAATAATAATATAATACTCCCTGTTTCATATACATCAAATTAAAATCTTTGATGAAGTGTTTGCCAAAATATTCCTTAAGAGGTTTCAGCAAATGGACAGTCTTCATCATAATCCTCACAGCAATTATCCCATTATATAATGAAATCATCTCATTTGACTTGGCCAGCTTACAGTGGACACATCTTAAGTATGTCGTTTTTTTGGTATTCCATTTTATTTTTGTTATGTTATTTGCACTTTTTTAGTATTTTATTATTTTTATTATTATTGCTCTTTTTCTGGTTTTTCATATTTTATTATAATTTAATTAACTATCAGCTAACAAGCTAAAAACATTCATACAGAGAAGTGGTTATAGTAATAAGATGAAGATAATTAATAATAATATGAAAAATAACAATAATGAATAAAAATAAAATAGTTTTATTATAATCTAATACAATTTATTTCAGCACCACTGACCAAAAGACGTTGAAAATTTTATTTGTGGCTGATCCACAGATAGTTGGCCTAGTAAATGAACACTGGCTGCTTGGCTATATAACAAGATGGGATTGTGATAGGTTTATCTGCTATTTTTTATCAAATATTATTTCTCATTTTTTGTTTTTATCAATAAATTTAATAATGTTCTCTATTACTAATCAATTATAATTTTATATATTTTAACTACTTTTAAACGGTATTTTTCAAAAAAAAAAAACTGTGTCAAGAAATTAAAATTTTTTAAATTCATCAAAATTTGACTTTTCTGTTCACTATTTTAATCAGACAAGATACATAAAATGGCATTCATAAATAAATTAAATTAAAAAAAATCATTTCAAATAAATGAACTAAGAATGGATTGATTTAAGAAAAAAAAATCTATTTCAATATAGATATATAAAAAATGGATTTTCGCGAGCATTAGAGCATGTGAAACCAGACGTTATAATATTCTTGGGAGATTTATTTGACGAAGGTTCCAGAGCCACTGACACACAATACGCAACCTATGTCGAAAGATTTTCTAATATCTTTGTTGATCCTTATTTGATTAGGGTAAATTTTTTTGTTTTTTGGTAAATTCTTTTTTACAGATTTTATTTTTTTTGGGTTTTTAGTATTATTAATTTTGATAAATAATGGAAATATGATTTATGAATTAATTTCAATTTACTAAAAATTTTTAGTAAAAATTAATGTATTTTAAGGTTTCTATATTAATGGTTTATATCTATTCAATTCATACTAAATTTTTTTTGGCCGTGTTTTAACTAGATTGTGTGTATGTGTGTGAGTGTATGTGTGTGAAACACGTATGTGTGTATTTGTCTGTTTGTGTGTGTCTGTGTGTGGTGTGTGTGTGTGTTTGTCCCACTGTTGAATTAATTACCGAGAGAGTGTGTTCATTACCAATGATAATTATTATAATTTTATTATAACTACAAGCGTATTTATATCCCTGGAGATAATGACGTCGGTGGAGAGGGTTTTGATTTCTTGGAGAACTGGAAGTTGCAAAGATTTCACAGGCACTTCCCATGCTTAAATGACCCTGTTGTAAGAATTGGAGACTTTGTCGATGTAATCAGGGTTGGTTTTTATAGGATATATTTTATAATTATATTATATCATCATAATTATATTATATTATATTAATATTATTGACTGTACTTTTTTCTTTTTTGACTTTGTTTGATTATAGATAGCGCTTTTGAGAACTTTTTGATTTTAATTAGCGCTTATAAATGTTTCATTAATAATAATAATAATAATATTAATAATAACATGAATACTGTGGATATTATTATATAACATTAATATGATTGGTGTACAATAAATAATGGTATTTTTTTTACATTTCTTTTTAGCATTCCATAGAGATGTCAACGCCACGCTCACACAAACACACATGCTCACACACACAAACAAACACACATACAGACAAACACAGGGTGTGTAATTAAAATGTCGTGACTTAACTTATCATCATCACACAAAACACCCACACACGCTCACAAACTCACACACACGCAAACAAACACAAAGCGTGTATTTAAAATATCGTTAATTAACTCATCACACACACACACACACACACACACACACACACACACACACACTCACACACACTCACACACACACACACTCACACACACACACACACACACACACGCTCATACACGCATACACATACACTTATTACAAATGTATCACAATAGTTATAATTTTATTATAGTTATAATAATTATTACTTTTCCAATTAGATGAATAATTATAAAGACAGACTCGATCAGGGTGTCCTTGACCTCAATGAAATCAATAAAAAATCGACAAACAATATAAAAATGTTCATCAGTCACTTGGGTGTAATAGATTATTATTACTACATGAAAGATGTTAGTTATGTATAAATATGTGTGTTTGTGCTTGTATATGTGTGTGTGTGTTTGTATGTGTGCGTGTTTGTGTGCGCATTCCACATTATGTAGTACATGTATTTGTTTGTATTGTATCTTTTTGTATGTCTGCGTTGTATCTTTCTTTATGTTTGTATCGTTATCTTTTTTGTATTGCGACTTTTTTACCGTATCTTTTCGTTTGTTTGTATTGTATCTTTTTGTATATCTGTATTGTATCTTTTTGTATATTTGTGTTTTATATTTTTGCCTGTTTGTATCTATTTGTACATTTTATGATATTAATGAAATTTACAGAAGATAGAAAAAATCTCGCCCAACATCATAGTAGCCGGCCATGAACACCATGTTTGTCTCGTTTTCTTTTTTGTATTATTTTTTTGTATATCTTTGTATAACTTTGTATTAAGCATGTTTGTGTATTTCCAGTTGTATTTTTTCTCATTATGCTAATTTGTTCTGCATGTTTTTACATTGAAATACATGGTTATTCATGTCGCGTTTTTTGCCCATATACATGCATAAATACAAATGACTCGTAAATTAAAATTTGCAAGTACACATACATCCGCACACACACACACACACACGCATATACACATACATTTACCTTATTCTTACACCACACACACACACACACACACACACACACACACACACACACACACAAATTCACACACACACACAAACACACATACGTATTAACAGTCATCCTATTTGAAATGCCAAAAATGTCTCACTAAAAATTCCGTCGAAACCTCGTACTCTTTCGATGAGAACCACAACATTTTGAAAGATAAACTGAGAGGCAAGTCAACAGTCTATCAGATCACCGTTCCCACTTGTAGCTATAGAATGGGGACTGCCAAAGCCGGCTACGGCTACATGGCTATTGGTGCGTTGTTGTTGTTGTGGTTTTTGTGTGTGTGTGTGCGTGCGTGTAGTTTTTAGTTTGTTTGTTTGTGTGTGTTTGTTTGTGTGTGTGTGTGTCTATATGCTCATTCAATCTATTATTCGTCCGTCTATTCCACCTATCTATTCACATTTAGACGGAAACAGTCGCATGCAGTACACCGTGTTATGGTTGCCTCAGAGGTATCCGCAGTTATTCCTCTACCTTGGCTACTTGCTTCTGCTGCTGTTGGCCGTTTCTGTTAGAAAATGTTGTTCTGCTAGGGTTAAGCTTTATAGGTGATTCTCTTTTCCATGTTGTTGCCAGCTTTGTGGGGCTATTCCAGTTAAATTTTTAATGAGTTGAATTATATTTCTTGTAAATATCAAATGAATTGAGTTGAATTCTAAGTATGTTTTAAATAAATTGAAGTAAATTGCTGAGTTTGAACTGTAAAGAATGTTGTTAATAATTTTTATTATGATATAAATTGTCTTCTGGCAATTCTTCTTTTCCGGAATTTATTTATTTTGTAATTTGATTGCATTAGTTCGATTGTGTCAGTCGCATGGCTGAGTTTGTTTTGAAGAAAAATGTTGATTTTATATTTGTTTATTGAGTATTATACCAATAATGTAATCAATATTCTTGTTGATAATACGTTATTGTTATCTTTATAATTCGCCGCTACATTATCTTTTACTTCAATTATTTTGACTGTTTTTCATGAGTTTTCTTATGTTTGGACTGATTTTTTTATATCTAATTGTTGATTGTTCAAAGTCTTTTTTGATTGTACTTTTTATTAAATGGTCGTTCTCTGCAGTGTTTAGCTGGGCGGGTGACAAGCCTGCTAGCTGATAATAATTTATTAACATTGTACTTACACATCGCCATTGTATAAATAGAACTTGGAAATCCCGATGATTACTTTCCAGTTAAGCTTTGTTAAGCGCAAAAATTATTCAAAATCATCTAAAAGCAGCGTTTAAAAACTTGTAAGATTCACGCACTTCGATTAATTTTAATACACACACATATATATATATGTATATAAATATATATATATATATATAGAATATTTATTATTGTTGTTACAAGTTACACATATATAGTATACGTTGTAGTTGTTGTTACATTCAATACATTGTATTGTATATTATATATGTTTCAATGTTTCTTCATTTTGAACAAGCTGGAATAAAACAACTAGATAAGATGTGATGAAATATGAATAAGCAGTAGCAAAATTATATCACCACGTCCGTTGGTAATTTAAAAATGGCGGTCTCCAATGACGAAGGTCAAAGTGAGAAATCCTTGTACGATTTTTTTGATCATCACATATATTTGAGCTCCTCGCTCGACGACCTAGAAGACTGCTGCAAGATTTTAGATATATTGAGAGGCGAACGTTACAAAGTTCAGCCAAAATACGATCCCCGAAACACAGACAGATGTTTGAAAGATTTGCTGGTAAGAGGGATAGGGCGCAGTTGCATGTGCATATTATATTACACACCAAAATATGAAAAAGATTTGTTTTTCAATGAAGAAGCGGTACGGTTTTTAAGAAAATTTAAACAGTTTTCAGAGAAATCCATTCTTGTACTCTGTAAGAAGTCAATTTCTGGATCTCCATTTCCTGGTAAATTACAAGAGTTTAAATTTGAAGTTCGACATATATCTGATGATTCAAAAGATTGGCCAGCTGATTTTAAAACTATTGTGTTCCCATATATCAAAAAGGCTTTAATGAAAGGTTTGTTAAAATTAGAACAAAGCATAAAATAAACTGGCTAAGTTTTCAATCAGATCTATGATAATTTATATGATAAATAAATTATAATATGTATATAACTATATTCTAATGTTTCTTTTTTCAAAGTATCAGATGTTGAACTAATGATTCCAGAGGATAATACTTATGCTATTGGCCTTGCCCTCAGTTATTATGAAGGCTATTTGAAATTTGTGTTACCAGGTTTGTTTAAAAACAGCGTTGCTTTAAATAATGTTCTTTATGAATTGGTTGATTTCACACGCAAGCATATGTTTGTTAAAATAAGGACAATGCGATTCTCAGATATGGAGAAAAACTTTTTCAAACACACTTTGAATGGTGACATGAACAAAATAAAGTCATCTGTTGCCAAAATGTTCATAATTGTGCCAGAAGACTCCAAAGGTCTAATAAATTTAGCAGATGGTAAACATATATTCACCACCGACATGTTTGTCAATTGCTTGGGCAACAGAGCTGGTGTCAAAAGAGAGATTACAAGAGTTCCATATACAAAATTAAAGATGGAAATGTTGTTTGAGTATTTTATTAATTTTTTCACAATAAACATGTTAAAGTTGACTAAAAAAAATGAAATTTTTAAAGAATGAAAAAGAATATTTTTTCATTGCGGAGTTTGCAACACCACTGCTCACAATATATGAAGCTAAGGAACGTTATCAGACTTTGATGAGTAATGAAAAAGTAGAAATGGAAAGAGATATTTTCATTCATTGTTTGAAATTTTTGCTCAACCATCCGAGAAATGCCATTGACAAAGCAGTAATTGTACCATGGAGAAATATTACACCCAGTAAAACTTATTAAAAGTTTTTTTATTCTTCTTATACTTTATTTACAACCCTATCACTACAGATTCAGAGCCTTTACATAGAATTTTGCTTAAACTCATAAAAGAGGAGTTGAATGCAAGGAATTTAGATACTGGTTGGATGGTTACATCCCTTTTATATAAAAATGATAAAAAATTTTTATTACTGCAATTTAATTTATTTCGACAGCTGGGGTCTCTCTGATGCAGACGGCATCACCCCAATATGACAAAGACACGTTTGAAAAAATAAATGTACCCCATGGAAAAACGCCAAAAGGTACAATTAATAATTTTTGTAATACTTATTCCAGCAATAAACTTAACCATAAAGTCTACAAAATTAAAATCTACATTGTTGAACAATTTGCGATAGCCTTGTATGATGCAGCTGGAAGATATAATCTGAAACAAACAACTAAAGGAATGTGTTTGGCTTTCGTTTTCAGCGAAAATAGAAAAGGATGGAAGCATGACAAAAGTAAGGAGGCAATATCAATATTTTTAAAGATAAAACTTCAATTTTGTCAATAATGTTAATTTTTGCATCTTAATAATTGTTAACAAAAAGTAATGAGTTGTAATATATAAACCATTACATTTCAGAAAATATAGAAACATTGTTTAAGAAGTTAAGATTTGAAGTCGAGGTGAATGTAGACTGCAACAGAAAGCAGTTGGAGGAAGCATGTTTGAGATATCAGAACATGGACCACAGTCAGTATGGAGCGTTCGTGTGTTGCATAGCTGCTCATGGAAATAATGGCTGCATATATACAGCAGATTCTGAATATGAGATTATAAAAATAATGACATTTTTTTACGATGATGTTTGTCCAACAATGAAGAACAAAATAAAACTATTCTTTGTGAACTGCTGTTTGAAGGAAGAAGAACAGTGCAAAACAAATGAGCAGAACAATAACTTAAAAACCAATCTAGCTCCTAGGTGCCCCGACATGTTCATCTCATACTCGTGCCTACCTTCTCAAGCCTCCCACAGACGTAAGAGCAAAGGTAGTCTGTATTTCAGATGCCTCACTAAGGTTTTTGAAGAAAACCACGGTGAAGAAATCAAACATGTTATGCTAGCCTTAGATGAGATCATAATGCCAGAGCTTATAAAAGATGTAGACGAAATGATTGAATCACTGGATACTAATTTACAAGATTATGAAGAACGTCATGATCGTTTGATAAAAATGCGCGAATCGTCGCAAGACACTTTTCATATACATACTGTTAAAAAATTAATATATCTAGATGAAACGGAATGATTCAAAATGAAATGATTGAGCGTATATCTATTGACTGAGCATTTATTAAACTTAATACAACAGCAGACAATATTACTTAATGCATTTATTAATATGCCTATTGTTACACGATATTTATGGCTAATGTAGTAAACTTCATTCACAATGACAATATTATTTTATTAACAAATAAACTCGTCTAATTGATGATTTATTCAAATTTAGTTAACCGTCAGTTGTGATTTCATTTAATAAGTTGATCTTTCTTGAAATGATTGATAATATATCTTTCGCTATCTAATATATATATATATATATATATATATATATATATATATATATATATTCAATGATTTGAATAATGTGCAAACTTATGCAATAGACAATATTACTTAATGCAATTATTCATATTTCTATCTATTGTTACTTGATATTTTATATTATACAAATAAACTTGTCTAATTGATTTATTCAAATTTAGTTATTTT